GTCACACTCACACTGATGCGAACTAGCGCGTCCATGATTGAGGTAAAGGTTTCTAACTCCGCTTCTGCCATGCTGCGTCGAAATAAAGCGTCTCTGCGGTAAAAATCGACTCGTTTTCCAGGAGAAAACACCGACAGGTTGTCCTGGCTACTCCGCCGGTAATGCACGGTCCAGGCCTTTAACGGAGCGTCACCGCTACAATGTTGTGCTGCACACGCCGAGTCCCTCCGTGTGTCTGTGAGGAGGGACTGGCCTGACTAATGGGAGCACGGGGGGTAAGAAAAAAAAATATTGGGGGGTTGGAAGCATTAAAGGGCTCTGGCTTCAACTATCATATAGCAGAGGTGGATGCACTAATTCAATAAAATAATTAAGTCGAGGTAATACAGAGAAATCTGAATAATAAAATTAGAAATATATTCTTTATTTAAAAATATACACAAAGATTCTAATTGTTTTTTTTTCCAATAATCAATGTCGTTAAATGTACCCATAGAAGTTCAAATTCCAGTTTCAAATAATTTGTGTCAAACTGCAATATAATCATACAATTCAGTAAAGAACATTAAAATGTTTGGGTTTTTTTATATGAAATTATTTTTTTCTCCAAGGTGACAAGGGAAAATAAATGTAAATATACAGGATTTATTGTTTATAATGAGAGGAAGAAAAACAGCTATAAAGACTTGCTGGTAAATGAATTTGTTCCCATGTTATGTATGATGCGCTGCAGATCATTTCAAACAGCTGAAATATTTTGTTCCTTCCAGGTAACTTAGGCAATTAAAGAGCAAATGTTTTCACATTCTCAAGGATATTTGTCTGTGATGTTATGATTGAGCAACCTCAATCTCAAAATGAGTGGTTAATCCCTCTCCAATGGTATCCACAAGCAATTTTTTCCTCATTTGAAAAGAGAGGAACTATGTTATCTTAAATCTCAGAATAATTGAGACATATTTTAAGGTATTTAACATAATTGCTCAAACTTAGCTATCAAAAATTAGCAATTAAAATAAACATTTTATCCAGTTATGTGTCGTATTGAACTGGATTTGCCAGAAGCCTGTGTACAAAGAACCCCACACAAGACCAAGTTTATTCATTCATTTATTTATATTAGAGTTTTGTTGTTGTTGTTGTTTTTAACAGCAGCTGTTGATTAAACTGAAAGTTACAGCTTTGACATGATTATGTGAGTCGTCTGACCGAGAAATCGATCAGAAGCTCGGTGAAAATGGTCTTATCCGCCCTCTGGCTGCAGTGCGCGCTTCTGACACGAGGGGGTCAGGGGACAGATTTTCACATGGGAACAGAATTTCGCAGAAGACCGGAACGTTTAAATATGTGTTTTAAGTCCGGTCAGTAATACCGAGCGTACACATGAAGTGGTTGTTGTAGCAACTGTTGTTAGCGTCTGCGTAGCAAACACGCGAAAAAAATTAAGTTAGCTTCATTTGTAAACGAAGGATATTCTAATCAGAACTTCATGTTTCCGCGATGTAAACCAAATATAGCTATTGTTTCTGGAACAACAAGAGTTTAAACTAATGATTTACTTACTTATTAAATGTTAGCTACTAATTTTAGCAATGTGCTAATGTAGCTTTGCGGCATTCCACAGTGTTTAATAACTGGAGCTTTGGCTGTTGGGCGCTAGTAAGTGTTTACTGCTTCGCTGTTGTCCATCTTTACTCGGTACAACTTGAAGCCAACAGTGCTAGTATGTCGGCTGTCAGCAGTCTTGTCCCTGCTCGGTTTCTCACCCTCATAGCTCACCTTGTCATCGTTATCACCATCTTTTGGTCAAGGGTTAGTAACAAACCTTTTTGTTATTGTTGTTGTTGTTTTTATTTACTATATATTATGTATATCTTACCAGTAAAACGAAACAAAACTGCTAAATACGTTTTTAAAAATATAAATTACTACTATCTAGTATTACTTAATTACCCTTTAGCATTGACAACGTAATTTTGTAATTAAAAATCTTTGTATGCTTTTCTGTTATGTTGTTGCTTTAATTGGTTTATATATATCGCATGTTCGATTTCATTACAGAACAAATTTAAAGATTTTCAGCGAATGAGCAAAACACTTTTTTGCTTCCTAAATATACTCAGAAGTGGAAGAATTTTGTCCCAACGTCAATTAATGACCATCCATAATATGACACCCACTCTTTTAATAATGTTTTGGCCCCTCTTTTGCTAGCAAAAGAGTCCTGACCTAATAGACCCCACATGTCTACTATGATATGTGGCAGTAGATTCTTTAAATTATTTAACATGTGAGCTGATGCCTCTGTGGATTAGGTCATCCAGTGATGCTCAATTGATTTGAGATATTGGGAATGTACAGTCCAAGTCAACACTCTAACCATGTCGTCATGCTTCTAAGACCATCCTGAAACATTTTTTATTTCTATTTTCTCACGTACAGTAGCTGAATTAACCACATCAAATTATGTGTATTTTTATTTACCAACATCCTTATTTAAAATAAAATAAATAAATAGTTTAAAAAATGTTATTAAAACAATAAGAAATCTCAGGTTAGAGTAAAAATTTATCGAATAAAAAAAGCAATGAAAATAATGTAAATTGAAGCAAAAAAAAAATAAAAAAACAAACTGAATTAAGCCGTACAGAATAAAAAACAATGCAGCTTATCATAAAATTTCTTTTATGTTGGAATTTAAAACGGTATGAGAGAAATGTTTGAAGTGCAGAGGCACATTAACTTAATCCCCCCATTATATTAACTTCTTTTTAGAAATGTTTAGTTAGCTTTTAGGCAAGGCAAGTTTATTACTAAAGCACAATTCAGCAATTTGTCAATTCAACATACTTTTATTTTAATGTTTTACTTGCAGGAAAATAATGTGAAAGCTTGTTTACCTTTGGATTTTACCCAAGAGCAGTATGACACTGAGGACAAAAAGTAAGTAAAAGTTAAACAAACTAATTTTACACAATTAAATACACATCTTTTAATATATTCCTCTTTTTTTAGATTGGTGGTGGGGCTAGGAGTCACCCTCGGTCTGTTTGCAATAGAGCTGACTGGTTTCTTTTCAGGAGTGTCCATGTTTAACTCCAGCCAAAGCCTTCTTTGTATCCTTTACTCTGATAGTTGGATCTGCTTTTATCTTCGTTTTAGTCATACAACTCATACTCATAAGTAAATATATTTCTGGATTAAAGTATCTTCTGTTAGTTGCTCTATTTTTTCAACAACCCTCAACCTGCCACAGCTTGTGATCATTAGTGACCATTTGTTTCTTGTGAACGCCTTTTTTAAATTTCCTGTCCAGTAAAACTCATTGGCTCGATGCCAGTCAAAATGTGGGACTAATCTAGAACCATCAGGGATACAATAAAGTAAAGCATCTCCTTAGAAATAAAGCAAAACAAATACAGCATTAAACATTTTTTCAAAGTAATTGTATTAACAGGTTAAGATCCATGACTATCATCTTGCTTATGTTTGACATTTTGTCTACAATAGCAACAGGAGTCCATGCCAGTGCCTCAGTGGCTCTACTTTTCTTTCTATTTGAACAGTGGGATTGTGACATCTACTGGTGGATCCTTGCTATTTGCAGGTTAGTGTGTCAGCTGTATGATTGAAGGAGAGTTTTTCCCTGACAAATGTTTCCCCCAAGCACTGGCTGCCCATTGCTGTGCATCTGTGTCCTTGTCCTTCTTTGTGTTTGAGAAGTGGGAATGCTGGACTTATTGGGTGATATTTGCCTGCTGCAGGTTGGTGTGGCTTTGAGTTGTAGTGAGCTAATGGTTCAGTTTTGAGTCTAATTTTGAATGAATGCAAGCCCAGTGGTTCTGCAGTGCTCTTGCCTTACATTGATGTCCCTGTCTTTGTTTGCAGTGTCGTACCGGCCTTCGTGGAGATCCTTCTGCTTATAGCAGTTGTTGGACTGAAGAAGAAACCCTTATAAAAAAAAAATTGCTTGTGACATTGAAAAAGTAACATTAGCGTGGTAATAGACAAGTTTCAGTGTAAGAACAGTTGCAGTTGGCAGATGATATATAATTGATGTAAAGAATAATGGTCTGACAAAAAGGAATTTGACTCATGTTAAAAATCACTGCTGTTAGCAAACTGTAGTAGATTACATTACAGAAGCTGTTTTTGTACATATTTTGTATATTTTGAATAAAATTGGAAACAACTGCTTTCAGTATACTGTTTATTTATTGTTATTATTATTATTATTATTTTTGTATTTATTTATTTTTTTTATAACACTTGTGTATTGAGAGGATTTCCTGGAGATGGGGTGCCTAAGTAGTCTTTGAGATTGACTATCTTGCAGCTTTTAGATGCATCTCATCCCCAGCGCTACTAAATCAAATGGCTGAATTCCCGCATCAGCTCTGCAGAGGCCTAGTGATGGCCCATTAATGTGATGAAGGTGTGTTGGAGAAGGAAGGCATCCATGGCCTAAAACTTTGATAAGTTAGGCTGCTGTCTGATGCATTGAAATTATGTTTCTTGGAGGGAATGCATAATGTCATAACTTTCAACTTTTTTATATTTTAATAATCTCTAACTGGATAATTTAATATTTAAATATTTTTGTTCTCAAATCCATAGAATGGTGTATTCATGCACCTTTCTTTTTTATTTAGGTCTTTAAATTGTTCTGTGTAGAAATAAGGCTAACAAAAAAATACCATGTTTTATAATGCATCAAACGTAATGAAAAATCAAGCGTAAGTTTTGCAGCGTTGATATACTAAAACCCTTTAACTGCCATGGACCCATTGACTAATGTAAGCTTTGTTTAGAGTGATGGTTAAGAAGTTAAAAAGCAGTTTGACCAAAATCAGTCCTCCGCCCACAGGTCCGTCTTGTTTTGCATTCCGGATTATTTCAGTTCCTAGTGCCGGTTAAATTATCTGGCTTTGCGAGAGTAAATCTTCCCACTCCTCTTTCATCTCAAGGATTTATAATTAACCTGTAGCCATGGGTATGTATTTTAATTTGATATTAATCTACAAAATAGTTTAGCAGATGTGCAGTCTTTCAAAGGTTTGTAACTAGTGAGTGCTGCAACAGTAAAGCTAGCTAATGCTAATATTTTATGCTAACTTAAATGGCTCATAGAACAACCCGCAGTGTTTATTTTAATTAATCAACGTTTCTGCATAAGAAATAAAGTGTGTGTTTGCGCTGTTTTGTGTATATAGAGTTGTGGTAAAAAGATACAGCTTTGTTCAAATGCTAGTTTTGAACAAAGCTGTATCCTTGCTTGAAGCTAGCTGCTACGTCGGAGACGTTTGTGTGCGAACACTGACGTGGCGTAAGAACGAGCAGTAAAATTAAACTTACGATGTAATGAAACTATATTTGATTTTTAATGAAACTATATTTGATTTTTATTGTGACGACTGTTTTTTAAAACAGTCGTCACAATAAAGACCAGACGCTTTTGCAGTAACCCTTGGCAAAAGCGTCTGGTCACTGCAGATATTCCCGTCATACGTTACTTATGAACTTTTGTATTTACACTTAAAAAAAATAGCTAAAACGATGGATCTCTGAAAATTTGAGTCTTAAAATATAATTTGGTATGTAGGATTCCTACATATTATAATGCAAAGTAGATACAAATACAAGATTTTGTTGGCTAACCCTGAATTTTCTGTCCTTTTACACTGAATGCTACTCTTTTGTTAATCCTGATTTTGCCTTTACAACAAAATAAAGCAGCAAATGTGTGAACACCTGTTTTTTTTTTTTTTTTTCATTGACCGTTATCAGTTAATGTACCCCTGACTGTTTCTTGTTTTAATAGTAATTGTACGTTCATTGTGTTTTTCTTTCACTCATTACATTTCCTAGTTTGTGGAAGTCGTTTTAATAAAGCTTTAATAATGTCAATCTCATTTTAATCTGTGCTACATTGCTGTTTGTTTTATCTTTTATGTTTTTTGTCAATAACTGAGGGAGGAGGAAAACCTGCAGTTTTAAATTACTTTTCCCCTTAAAGTGATAAATACTTTAAGGGGATCATATACTGTGTTTTAACTGAGACTAATCTATTAATCTATTTCATGAGAACAGCTCTCTATTTGTAGCTGAATGAAGCATTAATAAATTACCATTGTTTCTTTTCATTGCATAATTTAATTATACATTACTCCATTGAAGTTTATCTACATAATTCCAACAGTGTTTTCACTCTGTAATCATGTTCCCCAGTAATGACTACTGGGGGAAATAATTACATATTTTTTTGTTGATCATAGCAAAAGGTGTATGTATATTTCTACGACTGACATAGCCAAGTATTTAGTCTTTTTTTTTTAACAAGAAAAAAATCTATGCCACTTTTTTTGTGGCTATTTCTCTGTACCTTCCACCAAAGATCACTGAGAAATTAAATGTAGGACGCGCACAATGAAAGGTGTTGCAGTCAACAGGTGTTCTTCATCCTCTGAGATACGACACACAATAATATCAGAACCCAAGTTCCACATTTTGGCTCATCCCCTTCTACACTTTACACATTTTATGCATAAGGTTTGAATTTGAGTTCTACTATTTCCTAATCCGTTGTGTGTCGTTTATAGCAGTGAACACAGGCACTTCTCTGGTGCTCTCCAGTCTGCTCTCAGTGCTGGTTTTTGCCGGGATGCAGATGTTCAGTAAACAGCTGGGATCCACAGAGTGGCTCACCATCCTCGGAGGGTTCCTGGGCTCTGTCCTTTTCATCTGCTCCCTCACTGTATCCTTAGGATGAAAGCACGTTTTAAATGCACCTTTTTGTGAATTTCAGATTTTTACAGTGGTTTTTTAACTTTCTTTCCTTTTTTTTTTTTTCTTTTTTTTTTTTTTTTTTTTTGGAGCATATGAATGCACAAATTCCTTGGGGCTGTTGCAACTTAACTTCATTTCCAGGCATTCAACAATCTAGAAAACCTGATGTTTGGGAAAGGATTCCAAGCCAAGATTTTCCCAGAGAGTAAGTGATGAAATAATTAAAGCTGAACTCATAATCAGGACTAGGTTTATGTTTTGTTTTTGTTTTTTCTTCCTAATGTGATTTATGGCTTTGATATGTTTAAACTTCATTTGAATAAGAGTTAAGTTCAAAATGTCTTTCTCTGTATTCACAACAAACTATATACAAATTATGTATTTTGATATTTACATCAAAATTCACTTCTCTTTTGTTCTGCTTTCAGTTCTTCTGTGCCTGTTTCTCTCACTGTTTGCCTCTGGTTTAGTGCATCGGGTCTGCGTCACCACCTGGTGAGAGGCTTTCTGCTCAATTGTTTTACTTCTTTATATCATGTTTCTATCAGTTACCACCTAATCTTGTGCCCTTTTTTCCCCCTATTTTTAGCTTGATATTCTCCCTGTTTGCCTTGTATTACATCAACAAGATATCTGCCGCCCTCTACCAAGCACCTGTTCCTGTTGTAACACCGGCCAAGTCTGCCAGCAAGAGCAAAAGGAAGAACTAAGAAATCTGAAGAAAGAAGCCAATTAAAATAAATGGATCAGGTGCTGATGTTTACTTTTGCAGGTTTAAATCGGGAAAATAATTCAAGAAATAATTCTCTGTAGGTTCTCTTGGAATTCCCCAGTTTTTCTCACACATATTGAAAGTGCCCCAAGGTCAAACGAAAGGCCCCGAGAGTAAAACTTAAAGCGGCTCTCTACATTCCATTCATCTGCTTTTTCCAGGTGCTGGCGGCTATGAAGAGATTAACTCAACCCGTCAGGTTTTCTATTCACTTCTCAGCACCTCCAGCTGCTGTTATGTCATATTTTGTAATTAAACATTGTGAAAAATGACGAAAGTGTTGTTCTTCTGTCACAGGGTGTGTGGCGTATGGGTAGGGCTGGGTGGAACGTTCAGAGGGTGTGTAGCAGGAGTCGGGTCTTAATCTTTAGACGTTACTGCATGCGTGGCCACTCTGCACATGTTTCCTGCCCTTCCCACTGTCGGAGATCTTCTGCCTTTGAATACTTTCTTGTTCAACCATTTTTGTCAGTTTGGAATGTGTTTGTCGAGTCAGCAGGGTTGATACAGGACTGTGAGGTTTCTCCATAACAAAATGAAAAACACCAGCTTTTCAGTTTTTTAGTTTGAAATATTAAGAACCGAGGACTTGATTTTATCGTATTGAATCAGAACGAAGGTGAAAAGCATAAAAGCATGCCACACTTCTCAAATTTTAACTTGTAAGTAAATTGTAAAAGCAGCTGTGTGTTGGTCTATCACATAAAAACCAAATAAAAGACACAGGATTATGGTCCAATCTTTCAAGAAGGTCAAAGGGGAAATTATAGTTCAGTGCAGGTATCAGAGTACAAGTTGTTTCCCTTCAGGCATGATGAACACATTTCTGTGGGTTGCTCTATTGTTGAAAATGTTCCAGAGGTTTTCATAAAGAGAGAAAATCTTCTTTTCTGTATAACATAGTACATTAAAATGTCAGTTGCTTTAAAGATTTCATTCCTGCTGTCGCATTTGGGTGGAAAAAACACGAACAGGGATGGTGCTTCCTGCAATTTTTCCATTCTCTGCCTCCGGTATCCCCTCCCTCGCCCTCATCATGTTAGGCGTTTCCTGGATGACTGTACCTCCCTGTATAAACTATCACAAACCTCAAGCACTCTGCACTGCAACGTTTCTGCTCCCTCCCGATCTGGTAAGGCTTTTACGATTATTTAAACATAAAAATGTTGGTACCTTTATCTTCCAGTAGTTTCAGACTTTTATGTAGAGCCTTACAGTAATAATAGTCTCAGTTTATAGTGCTTTTGTTGTTTGTCTAGTTTTCACCTTTAATTTTCTATTAAATAATCTTGAATAAACAAAACGAAGAAGGGGAACGGATGGAAGAAAGTTTAACTTTATGTGCCAGAAATGATGTCGGCTCAGAAGAATTTGGTTTGAGTGCCAGTTGAACCAACACCCACATCCTCACTGAAGCGTGTTGGTTTTAGGGAAAGCACTGGGAGCTGATTGCAACCTCGCTTTCATAGCCAAATTAAATATAGATGCTCACTCTGCTTTAAAGACATGCTAAATAAAGTTTAAAGTTCCTAGAATGGGTTTGATTGTGTTTTCAAGCTTTAAATGAACTCTTTGACACAGAACTGCAGATAAGTTCAGAAAGCTGAAATTTGACTCCCCTCGTTTCTTTCCCCCCTCCTTTCAGATCTCTGTGCTGCAGCCATGACCGAGTTGGAGAAATCCATGGAGTCCCTGATCACGGTGTTTCACCGTTACGCCAAGGAAGGTGGCAATAAAACGACCCTGAGCAAGAAGGAGCTGAAAAAGCTGATGGAGAAAGAGTTGCCCAACTTCTTAACAGTAAGGCTCTTTTGTCTCTCACGAGGGCGAAGACCTGTCAACATGATGAATCAGTGGATGCATGTAACTTCTTGCTTTTCTGCTCGACTCTGTTTCAGACCCAGAAAAACCCCGACACGGTGTCGAGCATCATCAAGGATCTGGACCAGAACAAGGACGATGAGCTGGACTTTGAGGAATTTGTTCCCTTCGTCGCTGGACTGACAATCGCCTGTGAAAAGCATTACGCTTTGCACCACGAAAACAAGGGCAAGAAGTGAAGAGCTGGCAAAAGACCAACGAATTGTTTAAGATTAAGAGTATTTTTCTGAGTTGTATGACACATTAAAAAGTAACCTTTGAAAATATTCACTGTTTGCTTGATTACTCTATTTACTTTGTTGTTGTTTTTTGCCTGCATCTTGCTGTAGCTTTATGCAATGACACATGCTATCGTTTTAGGATGGAGAAGTTCTCCCAGTACTGAAAAATACTTTTGAAAGAACTTGGAGCTTTGACAAGTTCACATCTGATACTCATCTTACACATAAATCCTTCTTCAATCTTTAGCTGAGGCAGCTCTCTATTAAGCTGCAGAAATTGACTTATTGAGGGCTCAACAGGCTTAAGTTCTAGTAGGCCAATAAAAACCTTACGTGTTCGAGTTTTAACAACAAACATATAAACCATGGAGCTTTTTCTGTGTGTTGTGTCAGAACACAGCAAGATGGAAGATGGGTATGTAAATCCAGAACATGTTATCAGAACACTGAGAAAGAAAGATTTTATTTTTCTTTAACGTAGAAAATACTGAGTCAGTCTCTGCTCTGTTTTCTCAAACCTCCGGTTGATTGCAGCAGATTGTGGTTCGCCATGAGGCAGGTTCTGGTGGAGAGGTTTTTTTTTTTTTTTTCTGACCGATTAAAGGGGATTTGTTTTCTCCACTGTCGCTACGTGCATTCTCACTGATGGGTTGCTGCAAAACACGTGACTCAATGGAGTCGGCCAGCCACTGTTGCTACATGCCTGTCCAGTGGGAGGAATTGGTGTAAAGTCAGTGACATGATGCAACCTGCTGGGTTCCCTTAGACAGAAAACCTTTTTACTGACTTCAATAATAAACGGAACTTAACTCCATTTTTTAATAACAAGACGACATTTTTTGTGAATTTGCGCTGTATAAATAAACTGAACTGGATTAACCCAGATGGCTAAAAAGAAGAAACTTTCATTTGTTTTAAACTGAAAGAACATTGTTCAGCACACGTCAGCAGTGGCTCTCAAAGGCACTCCTCTGCAGATATTACATTTCCAAGTATTACAGTGCTGATAGACATGTCAAACCATTCTACAAACAATTGCAAACATTTTCATTCATGTGTTAAAAAATAAAAGACAAAAATGGGCAAAA